AACCAGCCTGCCAACACAGGAGACGCAAGAGACTGAAGTTTGATCCCTGGGTCGGGAGGATCCCCTGGAGGAGGAAATGGCAACTCTCTGCAAAATTCTTGCTGGGAGAATCCCATGGACAGAGGAGCCTGATGGGCTACAGTCCATGGGGTCGCAAAGAATTGGATGCATCTGAGCACATACTTTCTGGAATAAACGTATTTTAAGAGGAAAGAATACAGGGGAAAAAACTTATGTGTAAGTTACTTGCTAGCACAAAAGGCCAAAGGACAAACATGAAAAGAATGAGAGTTTAGAGCTGGGAAGAAAGGTCCCAGTTCTGTTTCATGTTGCAGGTAGTGGTCAAGGAAATGTGGGGTGGATCCTAGTAGGGGTGAGAGTGTGGAAGCCACTCATGCCTGTCCCCATAGGTCAAACCTGCTTCAGCCATGTCTATAAGGAAGGATGAAATGCACCAGCAGTTATCAGCCCCACTGGAATGGATCCGCCAAGAGGACTTATGTCCACCAGGCAGATTCTAAGACTGGCCTCCAACCCTTGTCTTCATGTCTCTGTACTTATTTTTGGCTACGCTGAGGCTTTGTTGCTGCTTGAGCTTCTCACTGGGGTGGCTTCTCTAGTTGCAGAGCACAGGCGCTCGGGGGCAGGGGTTCAGTAGTTGCAGCACGCGTGCTCCGGAGCCGTGGATCCCCGAGCTGTAGGGCGCAGGCTCAGTATCTGTGACACACTGGGCTTAGCTGCTCCGCAGCATGTGGGATCTTCCCGGACCAGGGATCGAACCCGTGTATTCTGCATAGGCAGGCAGATTCTCTGCCACTGAGCCACCAGGGAAGCCCCTGACCTTTCTTTGTACTGTTTAATGTGCCAGCTATGAATGTGACTTGGATGTGTGGCTTGTAACATATGTCTGTTGGCAGTACTGGTCTAGGGTATGTGGTAGATGAAGAATCAAAAGATGAAAGCCCGGTTGAGGAGAGTTCCCCTTGTGGATTCCACAGATGGCCAAAAGAGGCCTCCCCAGCCACACTGCCAGCCTCAGGGAATCCTGCGGGGATTTCCTCACCAGCTTTTCCCTTCCTTCCCAGGGTTCTATATGGAAGAAGTCAGTGGAGGTTGTGCCCCTTGCACCGATGGGATAGACTACACCAATCATTCAAACACCCTCCCTTCTTGCTTACCTTGCACGACTTGCAAATCAGGTACAGAACCTGTGGTCCCCCATGCCTGCAGTTAAGGTGCTGGGTGATGAGATGGGATTTAAATGGGATGAGGAGTCAGAAACCTGATTTCCAGCCCAGCTAGGTCTTCATCCTGTCTTAGGTCAGCAAAATAAATGAAAACAGAAGTTATTTGCATAACGCATTCCAACTGGTAGGGAAGTCTTTCAGAACATCAGCTGGAAAGAGGGGAATAACGTGTCCCTTGATGGAGGGAGCTGGATGGTAACAGTGCAGAAGGCCTGGGGGCGTGGGCCAGGGCTGGGTTTGAGCTGTGTGATGTGTCTGATCCTGGGCCAGGCTCCTGTGAGCGCCATGCCCTCTGCTCTAGGGTCTCAGGCTCTCTCAGCCTTCATGACCTGAGGTCCCTCTGCCTCTCCAGCAGGGCATCACCCGTTGGGACATCACCCAAGGGCTCCTCTCCATCTGTAGTGTCTCAGATTACACCTCACCCCACCCCACTTCTTGCTCCTCATTTGTGATCTAGAACATTTTTCTTCTCAACCCTGATGCAATCCGTAATGATGCACAGTCCCTTTTGTATGCCTCTATTGGTGACACATGAACAGTGGCTGTTCTATGGATGGTCTGTGTGTGTTGCTACAGAAAATAGCCCCCAAATTACTTTAAAAAAAGATTAATTCATTTATTTTTGGCTGTTCTGGGTCTTTCTTGCGGAACAAGGGCCTTCTCCAGTTGTGGTGGGGGGCTACTCCTTGTGGCCTCTCACTGTGGGGTACAGGCCCCAGAGGGCAGGATCAGTAGTGGTGGCACACGGGCTTAGCTGCCCCGCAGCACGTGGGGTCTTCCCAGACCAGGGAGGGAACCTATGTCCCCTGCTTTGACAGGCGGATTCTTAACCACTGGACCACCCAGGAAGCCCTCCGAATTACTTCTTGAACTGAGTAGATGGAGATCTGAGTGGTGAAGAAGGGTGAGAGACATATTAGGGAAACACCCCCTCAAAACCTTATCTTTGGTCTCTAGAAGAAGAAGAAAAAAATCACTGCACGTCTAGCAAGGACACTGAGTGTCAGTGCAAACCCGGCACTTTCCGTGGAGAAGATGCACCTGAATTCTGTCAAAACTGCAGCGCCGGGTGAGACACAGGAGCCTAGGGGGCTTCCAACCCACAGGAGACTCCAGTTTCCTTGTACCCCTTTCACGCTCTGCTTCCGTGAAGCCCCTCCCACCTCTCAGAGCTCCTCTGTGCCTGTGGGGTCTCCCGAGCCTGCAGCAGCGCTCCCCACCACCACCGTTTGTCCTGCACGGCTTTCCCAGTGGCCCCTTCCCACGTCTCCTCGGGAGTGGCCTAGAAAGACCTAAGTGCTGACAGCAGACAGAAGTCATAATGAGGCCACGTGTGTGCTCCTTCAACGTTCCTATAAAACCGGAGCCAACTCGACAGGTCTCACACCCAGCCCTTGTTCCCCAGTAGCACCTGAATCTTTCCTATTCAGGGACGCAGGGGCCAATAGTAATTCACTAGCCTCTGATGCTCCAGTGTTGGCTGAGATCGGTAGGAAGAGTCAACAGGGGGATGAGAGGGCCTCGTATTCACGTTTGGCTGGAGGATGAGTCAAGGTTGTGCCCACACCCTTCTGACCCTTGGCCTGGCCGAGGCACCCCCCAGAGCTTCCCACGCAGCCCAGGGCGGCCAGGGCCGGCCTTGCAGAGGAAGCCCCGCTCCTGAAGCACAGCAGGACCCGGGGCCGCCGCACACAGTCCTGGATTCTTCTCCTGCCCAGTGAGGGCGTGTGAGGGGACCCTCCCCTGCAGACAGCAGGAGCCTGTACCCCCTCTACTGTCTTGTCAGGGCACCCAGGACAGAAGGCTGCCCCCTCTTTCTCCTCATCCAGCCAGCTGTCCCTGATGGGTCCCCCTGTGTCTGTACCCAGGTGCCCTGATGGGACGGTCATGGTCATGAACTGTACCCCCTGGAGCAACGTCGAGTGTGTGGACCAAGAATCAGGAACCCTGGCCCATGGGGAGGCCCCGGTTCCTGGAGAGCTAGCAACCATGAGCTGGAGACTACCCAGCACTCCCTCTCCCTCCTCAGGCACTTCACCGCTGGTGATTTACACTTTAATGGGACTTGGAATCACCTTTGTCCTAATGGGATGTGTTGTATGTTGCTTCTCAAAAGGTGAGGTTCTAGAAGGGAAGGAGGAGGTGCTGGCCCCCTCCTCCATCTCCCCAGTCCTCCTGTTCCCCCTGGCTTGTCTCTGATCTTGTTCCCCAGGAAACCCCTCCTCTTCTCACCTCACCTGGTCCTACAAAACCGTGATCACATCGGGCCCCCAACTCAGCTGACAGTCCCCTCTTCCCCCTGGCTGAGTCTGGTGGGAGGAGGCAGAAGAGGGTGGTTCAGGAGCACTGCACAGATTTCACATGGGTTTCATTTTACTTCATTTTCTCCCTTCTCTTCTCCTCCCTGAGTTCTCCAGACTCGGGGTGTCCCGCTTGCAGTCACAGGCCCGGGGCTCTTTGTTCAGTGTCTGTCCCTGGGGACGGAGGTGCGGCCAGAGGGCCCTCCCCACCACTCAGTGGCGTCTCTTCTCTTGTAGCTTGCTTTGGTGAGTGCTGCCACAAGGTGAGTCGGTTTCTCCAGCATCTGGCGGCATCAGACCCTCACTAACTGCTTCCACCCCACAGCAAAGCCCAGGGTGGACATGGTCCTTGGTTTGTCCTATAGCGTTGTCCCTGACTCTCTCAACTGGCCTGGGGGCTCTAGGCTGAATGTAGGAGGGAGACTGGCTTGCTGAGCGCTGTCCTAAGGCTGGTTGGCAGCGCTGGCCCTGAACTTCCTGTTTGAGACACCCTCACTCTGTAACCCTGGGGCATGCGGGGTGTCAGGCAGGGGTGCTCAGTTCCCTTTAGCATCACACCAGAGTCTGGGTGCCATCAGCAGAGCCCAGATGTGCTGAGTCTATGCCCACTTGGGGGGCACAGCACAGGGGTAGGTGGGAAGGCAGAACCCACTGTGTCCCCCCAGACGCTGTAGGGGTTTGTGACTCCTGGGTCAGCGCCTTGTTTTCTCAAGGCCCTTTTCTGGCGCTTATGTCCTCCAAGAGGATCTGGGGCTCTGGACCATGCCCACAACAGGCTGACCAGTGGAGATTCACTTTCCATTCTGGTCCCTTGGCAGGAAAAAAAGCTGACAGAAGACAATGCCCAGTCCCAAGATGAAGCAAGCAGAGAGTCTGGTGGTGAGTGTGCGGCTCTGGCCCTTCTGCTTGCTTGGGACTGTGGTGGAGACAGGGAGAGGCAATGCTGGTCAGGTCTCCTCTCCTCTGGGGAGGTGGTGATGGAGGGAGACCAGGGCATGGAGAGAAGGGAGCCCACCCCTGTTCTGGTCCACTGGCGGCTCTGATGCTGTTTCCCATCTGTCGTCTTATCACCACATCCATCGTCTAGAACAGTGCAGCCGAAGGGGGCTCACTCCTCCCATGACTGACCCAGTGATGGGGTCAGAGCTACATATTTTTCTGTGTGACTATTACATACTTTTAAGCCATTCCTCATCATAGTAGCAATTTCACATTTATTTCAAAAGTATTATTAATTTGAATCTACTTGAAGTAAAATTTCTTTGTCAACATATAGTATTNTATGTATGTATACAAACGTACATGCTAGCCACTGTACACATACCATCCCGTTGTGAGATCTCTGGATCAAGGATCAGACTGTTTCGTTGCTGAGTAAACTTAGCCCTGGTTCCCCATGGGGGGGAGAGGGTAGAGGCACATGTACCTGTGTGTGCAGTGGGGTTTATGCATAAATTCCAGGTTATGAAACTCAGAGCTTAAATAGATGGCTGACACATCTACCCCTGCCCTCCTCCTCAGTAAGAAAGATGCTGTATTTTCTTCTGGAATAGAAACAAAGTCTCTTTTGGAGGAAAGAAGCCTAGAATGTGACTACACGGCCCTGATGGGCAGGGGACAACCTCTAGTCCCTACAGGGCAGTAGCCAACCTCTCCCTTCGAAGGCGTGTCAATCATTTGTGCTCGTTGCATGCTAAGTCGCCTCAGTCATGTCTAACTCTTTGCAACCTTATGGCCCTTAACCCACCAGGCTTCTCTATTCATGGGATTCGCCAGGCAAGAATACTGGAGTGGACTGCCGTGCTCTCTTCCAGAGGATCTTCTGGACCCAGAGATCGAACAGGCATCTCTTACATCTCCTGCACTGACAGGCAGGGTTCTTTCCCACTAGCACCACCTGGGAAGTCCTGTTAACCATTCAAACAGCCTTTAAGCAAAGTCGCCCACAATCTTTGCTGAAAAAACTTAAACTTTAAGCAAATCTGAAAAATGTCATGTCCATTTTATTAATTGAAAATAATAGGATTAAAGGCCGGAAATTTGTCCCCAGTAGGAAAGATAAGCAGGGTGCACACAGTCTCTCTGCCTGGATGTTAAACATTCCCTCTATGGAATTTCATTAAATACATAAACTTTTAAAGGTTTTTTGACATCTCCCCAGAGTTTGCGTTGGACAAACAGAAAATACAAAACTCAAGTTTTTGGAACAGATTTCCACAAAAGCATGGAGTGACTTTTCACTCATCCCTCTCCTGGGTCCTGAGTCATCTTTCCCTGTTTTTCTTGACTCCTCAGACTCGGGTTTTACTCTTGTCTCAGCACTTGACTACTCTTCCTCCGGTTTGTCTTTTCTGTCCCCTTGGGCACACCTCATGCTCTCCCTGCTGAATCACAGCAAAAGGTCTCTGGCTTTGACAGCTGTCTCTGTCCTCCATCATGCTACGATCTCATGGGAGTCTGGAATCTTCCTGATTCAAACCACTTCCCAGGATTTCCACCTTTCCCTTCCTGCAGAGTGTCCAGACAATGTCTTATTAAGCACTTGGCTTTTGCTCCATTCTCTGAGTTGCTGAAACCATTTCCACACTAATGACAATTTTAGTCTACCCATTAGCCTCGTTAAATAATCATGGATTATAGAGACATTTGGGCTTCTCCAGTGGCTCAGATGGTGGATCTGCCTGCAATGCAGGAGACCTGGGTTCAGTCCCTGGGTCGGGAAGATCCCCTGGAGAAGGGAATGGCAACCCACTCCAGTATTCTTGCCTGGAGAATCTCATGGACAGAGCCTGGCGGGCTGCAGTCCATGAAGTGACAGACTCGGACACACAGCCGAGTGACTAAGACTACATATTGCAGTGAAAATTTTAACTTACTTTTAATTGGAGGATGATCGCTTCACAGTGTTATGCTGGTTTCTTCTGTAGAGCAACATGAACCAGCCATGGGGCTACATATATCCCCACCCTCTTGAGCCTCCTTCCAGCGCCCCCATCCCACCTCCCTTAGGTTATCACAGAGCACTGGATTGAGCTCTCTGTGTTATAAAGCAACTTCCCATTAGCTGTCTTTATTACATACTGAAAGGAAATTTTTTTAGAATACTTTGAGTTAGTACCGTATGTAATGAAAACGAGTATTGTTATTTTTCATGTTTTCAGTGTAGCTGTTACAGAATATAAACTTGTGTTGGGTGCCCTCCTTATGTACTGTGGATGGTGGGGTGCACAGCATTTCACACACACAGCACTGAATCTGCAGCACAGTCCATGAGGCGGGTGGTGTTTGCTCCATTTTATGGTTAAATTCTTGCTCAGAGTCTGTCCCCATCCAGCTCTACCACAGTGTCAGGCAGTGAGGCTGAGCGGGGTGTGAGGCCGGAGACCTTCCTCCCTCCAGGCCTTTGCTTTGTCCCCAGTGCAGAGGTGGCAGCCAGGGGACCTCACCCTCCTGAGACAGGCAGGTGCCCTCCTCTGAGGTCTGCTGCCCCTCGCTGTCCCACCGTCTCCTATCACAGATGCCTTTCCCTCTGTGGCAGCAGTCTTCTCTTCCAGACGGGCCCTCATCCCCTGCTTAGGGCAGGACGCTCTGCTGACCTGGACTGCCCCCCACTGCCCTGGGTGCTGGCGACGCCCAATGCCCAGTGCCGCTAGAGCCACCAGGGAAGCCCCATAACTTGTAATATACATCATTAAAGTGCAAACATCTTGTATGTCTCTGTACTTTTATGTTTGTGCAGATATTTATATGTATTGAAAACATTTTGGAAATATAATTTCTAGGCTGTTTATGTGGGCTACCTGGTTGAGCACTGGCGATCCAAAGCAATTAGAAATACAAAAGGAGGGCATTCCCTGGCTGTTCAGTGGGTTGGACTCTGTGCTGAGAGCCCTGAGTTCAATCCCTGGTCAGGAAGTAAGATCCCATAAGCCATGAGGCAAAAAGAAAAAAAAAACAAACAAAAACCTACAAAACAGCAACAACAAAGCAGAGCAAGCCCACTGCTGGGGGAATTTGACCAGTTGGGGATTGCCTGGCGACTTCTACAGGGTCCAGGCTTTAAACATGTCAATTTTATAGTTGTGTGAATATTCATATTTTTCATAGGGAGATGTTAACCAGTGAGCAGAGCGGGAGAAGTGGCACGCCCGTGCAGCGCTGTCTGGTGTCCGTGACCTGGGCTGTGATCCCCTGGGCTTCCTGTTGCTCACCTGGGAGGTCAGGGTGGGGCATGGGTTAGATATGAGTGTCTGATAGTTTCTGTGTCACGTATGGTCTTATCACTGACCTTCATTCCATCTGGGCTCAAGGAAGAGAGGACAGGGATCTGCCATGGTTTCTGGGAGGAAGAATGGACGGGCTCCTGGGCTATGTTCAGTGTTGGCTTGCTCAGCACTAGGTGGGCCCCCCTTGATACTGGTGCTCTGAGCCCAGAATTGCCTTTTTGTGTTTGAATTGGCTAATTAAGGATCTCAGCCCCTCTGTAAGCTTTGACCTGCTGCAGGAAAGACACAGAAATGCTGATTCTTAAATACTGTGAGAACTGACCTAAAATGCCTACTATATTAGGGTTTTGTCTTTTTTTTTTAATTAAAAAAGTTTTTTTTTTTTTTTACTTCTGCTAAACCTTCTCCATACTATTCCAATCACTGCAGGATAATTGAATGGCAGAAGCAATTCTCAGGGGGGTTTTTGGTCTAATCCATCTCAAGGCTTGTATGTTGTCTTCCCTAAGGTTGGTGTGACTGGTATGGTCAAAACTGGAATTGCCTAAAATTTAGGTACAAATGGATCCAGTGTGTGGAGTTCACCTGTGTTTGTAGAAGGGCTGATCCCCATGGTCTTTGTGCTACATCCCTCTGGCCCTGATGTCCCTCCCTTTCCTGGAAGTCAGGTGTTTCCTGTCTTTGCTGTTTCTTCTGTGAGGACACTCTGCCTTCATCCCCAGAAGGAGATAGAAACGAATTCTTGGGGCCTCCCTGGTGGTTCAGTGGTTAAGACTCTGCACTCCCAATGCAAGGAGCCCAGGTCTGATCTCTGGTTGGGAACTGAGATCCCACAAACCACAGCTAAGCGTGTGCTCTGCAACTACTGAGCCCATGTGCTATAGAGCCTGCACATCGCAACTGGAGAAGCCTGTGTGCTGCAATGAAGAGTCTGCACAGCGGAAACAAACAAGATACAGCAAAATTTGAAACTGTCACCTAGATATTACAAAAAGCATGTCCATTTGTAAAACCGTTTGAAAAATAGTCAAGTGTTAGGTCACTTGTCCCTTTCTCAGAAGACTTCCTTGAGTGCCCATCTAAAGTAGCAGCCTTGTCAGTATTTGTCATGTATGTTCATTTGTACACTTCTTTTGTGTTTTACTAATGAGAATCTTCAAGACACGTGAAACTTGACTCCTTTGTTACTTTCCTGTGGGTGCTCAGTCGCTCAGTCGTGTCCGACTCTGCGACCCCGTGAACTATAGCCTACCAGACTCCTCTGTCCATGGGATTGATTCTCCAGGCAAGAATACTGGAGTGAGTTGCCATTTCCTACTCCAGGGGATCTTCCCGACCCAGGGATCGAACTCGTGTGTCCTGTGTCTCCTGCATTGCAGGCGAGTTCTTTGCCTGCTGAGCCGTCCGGGAAGCATTACTGCTTTATGCCAATGCAAGTGTGACAATTTAAATTTTACTTGAAGACTGGATGCCTCTTCAGGTTTCTCCCCAGTAATGAATGTGACCAAATTAAATATGCAATGTCATATAGAAATTTTATAATTTTATGTAAACGTGCAATTTTATGATTTTGAACCAAATTGAACATTCAATGTTATATACAAATTTTGCAATTTTCTATAAATATGCAATTTAAAGAATTTGTGGTCAAATATGCAATGTGATATAAAAATTTTATATAAATAAGCAATTGGATGAATTTGTGACCAAAATAAATGGCAGTTACATAAACATTTTGCAATTTTATGTAAATATGCAATTTTATGACTGTGACCAAATTAAACATGTGCTGTTATATACAAATATTATCATTTTATATAGTTTTATACATTTTGACAAATGTGGAATGTTATAAAAAGTGTAAGAACTATTAAAATTATGAAATTATAAAGTTTTCTATAAATATACAGTTTTATGAATCTGTGACCAGATTAAATATGTAATTTTACATAACAAGAGGCATCTGTGTGTGTGTTTTTCCCCCATCCTCTGGTTGTCTGGAGCAGTTCTGAGTGAAGGCTGCAGGGGTGTGTTCTTGCTGTGTGACCCACTCCTTCCCTCTGCCCTTTATGCCTCAGGCTCATCCTGCATGGGTGTGTCTCCTGCTCTGACTCAGGACTTCCAGGTGCCAGATTCCTGGGGGACTGGAATTCAGCCCCTCCTCGGTCCACCTCCTCCCTGCTCTTCCGCTGGGAGAGGGGCCCCAGCCTGGCCGGGTCCTGCAGGGCCTCCCTCCTGTGGTGTCTCCGAGTCCTGTCTGGGCCTGCTGGGCTCCCTGGAGGTGCAGACCGGCTCTGAGAGCTGCTGGGAAGGGCTGGTGGGGCCCGGCTCGCTGGGGTTCTCCTGTGGCCCCTCACTTGTGAGCCTCCTGCCACTACGGGGCCACCTTCCCCTCTGTCCCTGCTGTCCTTTCCGCATCCTCATCACAGTGGGTCTGGTGGCTCAGCCCTGCAACCTCATGGAGACCCAACTCCCCTCCCCTGGACCTTCGGCTAGGATCCCCCACCCACCTAGATTTCCTGGGGGAGCCCCGTGGTCCCACCCCTGTCCCCTTCCCCGAAGCAAAGGTGCTAGTGCAGATCTGCACACCCCCTGGACTGCCCCCACTCCTGCCTGTGAGCGATTACATATTACATCAGGAGTGGGAAGAAAAATATTTTAATCACAAATCAGGAGGAAGAGGTGAATTTATAATTACTTTAGATACTTGAAAAGCAGTGTTGCCTGGCAAGTCCCAGTCCATGGGGTCACAAGGAGTCAAACATGACTGAAGTCTCACCAGATTGGGGCTGTGAGGAATGGAATGGAAAAGATACCTGTGCTTCCAAGCTTACACAAGAGGTAGGGGCTGGATTCAGTTCTTGGGGCAGATGGCAAGAGGCTGTCCTTGTCCCTGTGATGTGGGCATCTCCATTTATTGTTTACCGTGATGCGGGCCTCTCCATTTATTATTAGTCACTCTGTTTAATATTAGTCACTCAGTCATGTCAGACTCTTTGTAACCCCATGGGCTGGAGCCTACCAAGCTCCTATGTCCGTGGAATTCTTCAGGCAAGGATACTGGAGTGGGTTGCTATTTCCTTCTCCAGATCTTCCCAACCTAGGGATCAAACCCAAGTCTCCTGCATTGGCGGGGGGATTCTTCAGGGCTGAGCCACCAGGGAAGCCCAGTCCTCTCCACGTCTGTATGTACATGCTAAGTCGCTTCAGCTGTGTCCGACCCTTTGCGACCCTATGCCAGGCCCCCTCTGTCCATGGAATTCTCCAGGCAAGAATACTGGTGTGGGTTGCCATGCCTTCCTCCAGGGGATCTTTCCGATTGAGGAACTGAACTGGCACCTCTTAGGTCTCTAGCAACGGCAAGCAGGTTCTTTACCCCCAATGCCACCAGGGAAGCCCGGGCCTCTCCATAGGGCTGCACAAAACATGGCAGCTTGTTTCATCAGAGCAAGTGAGTGACTGGGGGCGGTGCGGGGGGGCGGGGAACTCTCCATCCTTTGACCCTGATCTTGAGACGTCCCACTGCTTCTGTTGATCTATTTCTTGGTATTTTCTCTGAAACGCTGACAGGTCTGAGATCCTACTTGCGAGTTAACAAGTTACCAGAGTTATTTATGTGAGTCTTTATGAGTGTGTGTGTATACCTGGGTAGCATGTATATACCAGTATACAAGTGTATATGTATGTATACAAACGTACATGCTCGCCACTGTACACATACCATCCCGTTGTGAGATCTCTGGATCAAGGATCAGACTGTTTCGTTGCTGAGTAAACTTAGCCCTGGTTCCCCATAGGGGGGAGAGGGTAGAGGCACATGTACCTGTGTGTGCAGTGGGGTTTATGCATAAATTCCAGGTTATGAAACTCAGAGCTTAAATAGATGGCTGACACATCTACCCCTGCCCTCCTCCTCAGTAAGAAAGATGCTGTATTTTCTTCTGGAATAGAAACAAAGTCTCTTTTGGAGGAAAGAAGCCTAGAATGTGACTACACGGCCCTGATGGGCAGGGGACAACCTCTAGTCCCTACAGGGCAGTAGCCAACCTCTCCCTTCGAAGGCGTGTCAATCATTTGTGCTCGTTGCATGCTAAGTCGCCTCAGTCATGTCTAACTCTTTGCAACCTTATGGCCCTTAACCCACCAGGCTTCTCTATTCATGGGATTCGCCAGGCAAGAATACTGGAGTGGACTGCCGTGCTCTCTTCCAGAGGATCTTCTGGACCCAGAGATCGAACAGGCATCTCTTACATCTCCTGCACTGACAGGCAGGGTTCTTTCCCACTAGCACCACCTGGGAAGTCCTGTTAACCATTCAAACAGCCTTTAAGCAAAGTCGCCCACAATCTTTGCTGAAAAAACTTAAACTTTAAGCAAATCTGAAAAATGTCATGTCCATTTTATTAATTGAAAATAATAGGATTAAAGGCCGGAAATTTGTCCCCAGTAGGAAAGATAAGCAGGGTGCACACAGTCTCTCTGCCTGGATGTTAAACATTCCCTCTATGGAATTTCATTAAATACATAAACTTTTAAAGGTTTTTTGACATCTCCCCAGAGTTTGCGTTGGACAAACAGAAAATACAAAACTCAAGTTTTTGGAACAGATTTCCACAAAAGCATGGAGTGACTTTTCACTCATCCCTCTCCTGGGTCCTGAGTCATCTTTCCCTGTTTTTCTTGACTCCTCAGACTCGGGTTTTACTCTTGTCTCAGCACTTGACTACTCTTCCTCCGGTTTGTCTTTTCTGTCCCCTTGGGCACACCTCATGCTCTCCCTGCTGAATCACAGCAAAAGGTCTCTGGCTTTGACAGCTGTCTCTGTCCTCCATCATGCTACGATCTCATGGGAGTCTGGAATCTTCCTGATTCAAACCACTTCCCAGGATTTCCACCTTTCCCTTCCTGCAGAGTGTCCAGACAATGTCTTATTAAGCACTTGGCTTTTGCTCCATTCTCTGAGTTGCTGAAACCATTTCCACACTAATGACAATTTTAGTCTTCCCATTAGCCTCGTTAAATAATCATGGATCAGAGAGACATTTGGGCTTCTCCAGTGGCTCAGATGGTGAGGGATCTGCCTGCAATGCAGGAGACCTAGGTTCAATCCCTGGGTTGGGAAGATCCCCTGGAGAAGGGAATGGCAACCCATTCCAATGTTCTTGTCTGGAGAATCCCATGGACAGAGCAGCCTGGCAAGCTACAGTTCATGGGTTGCAAAGAGTCGGACACAACTGAGTGACGAACACACATATAGACATTTATGTGACAAAATGTTTTTGTAGTATTATTCAAATGTCAAAAGCTTCAAAATAATTAAAATGCTCCCAATGGGATTCTGGTTAAGCTACTGGTGTTAGACCCATACAGTATGTTAGGGAGTTATCAAAAGTAACATTGTAGCAAAATAATTAATGAAATGAAAAAATGTCATAAAAAGAAGTGTTTAAGAATGTTAAGAGGAAAAGACAAGATTAACAGTATTTACCTGTGGTGGTTTTAAGGCAGGTGCACACATTCTTTGATCTTTTTCTTTCAAGATATATAGCTGAACATGGGGAGCAATGAGTGACTCATCTGTAATCATTTGGACAAGGCAGAGGCGGCTATCCATGATCAGTCGCTAGAACTGGGATCTCTCTTCTGGATCAAANCTGGTTAAGCTACTGGTGTTAGACCCATACAGTATGTTAGGGAGTTATCAAAAGTAACATTGTAGCAAAATAATTAATGAAATGAAAAAATGTCACAAAAAGAAAAGTGTTTAAAAATGTTAAGAGGAAAAGACAAGATTAACAGTATTTACCTGTGGTGGTTTTAAGGCAGGTGCACACATTCTTTGATCTTTTTCTTACAAGATATATAGCTGAACACGGGGAGCAATGAGTGACTCATCTGTAATCATTTGGACAAGGCAGAGGCGGCTATCCATGACCAGTCGCTAGAACTGGGATCTCTCCTCTGGATCAAAGGGCCAGCAACAAGCCATCACAGCTAACAGTTCCTCAGCACAGTGCAGTAACCATCTTTTAGGGCACGCAACCATGTCAAAGGGGTCCATGTCCACGCAGGGCATCTGGCCCAGAGTCAAAAGCTAGTTCCCACAGCATCACTCTGAAGGCCCACAGGTCACTGGCACTGGAGAACTCATTATTAACCAGACTTTCAAGGGCCGTCCACCGAACCCACCTGTTTTCACTGTCCCCCAGGCAATGATAGTCCTTGGGGAACAAGTCCCTGGAGACAGCACTGTCTGTGATCTGAACTTGAAGTGTGTCCTCAGTGATACAGTTCCTAGCAGCCACATCTTGGTGGATGACTTCCCTTCTGGACAGATAGCTCACTCCCTAGGCAATCTGAACAGTCATGTGAACCAAGTATTGTTGAGAAACCGCCTGTGCATTATGGGCCTCTACTAATTGGCACTGCCGTAAAAACAATTCATGTAAGGCAATATCCCCATGGGCTTTTCTCCTTCTATATACACCCCGGTGATAGGAAGATTTCTGTGATGAAGACCTCGTAGCTTACAACTCTCAGTGAGCATCACTGTCACCTGAATTTCAGAAGCCTGATCTTTAAGTGTTTTTACAAATACTTGCTTTTCTTTATTTGGATCTTTTTCTTTCTTTCCTTTGGCCACAGACTTTATTGTTTGAATATCTGCAACTATTATTCTACACACCTTAAATTTCTTCCAAAACTCTATGCTCCATATTGCTAGGTCACTTCACTCTCCATTTGATTCTACATTTCCATCAAGCAGTGTTTCCCCAAACCACAATCTGCCTGATTTGTTTTTTTTTTTTTTCACTAATGACAATTTATTTGTTGGAAGCACACAGGTTGATTTTGGTTAAACCAGAACTATGTCTACATAGAAGTGGGCAATAATAGGTAGCCATTCTATGGAGAACTTTGCACTTAGTCGTCATCCTCACTCTGTTTTAGTTTCTTGATCGACTGCTTATGCCGCTCAATTTCTTTCTGCAGGCGCTCAATCTCCTTTGCATGATGAGAGATCTCATTTTCATGGTGTTTCTTCAAGGCGGCCAGTTGTTCTTTAGCACGAGCTCGGAAGTATTGTTCCTTTTCGGCCTGGTCTCTTTTTCCGAAGGCCCCACCGGCGTCCCGGACCGCGCCCGCGCTGGACCTAACATTATCTCCCTGTTCGGAGCCAAAGCCTCGGCCTTGCATTGCCCAGACGCTCCAGACGGCCTGCCGGGTACGCGCAGCCAACACCGTGGCTGCCATTGCTATCCCTGATTGTGTATTCTTGTTGTTCAGTTGCTAAGTTGTGTCTGACTCTTTGTGATGCCATGGACTGTAGGCGACCAGGCTCCTCTGTCCATATTTCCCAGGCAAGAATACTGGAGTGGGTTGCCATTCCTTCTACATATTTGGATCTTTTTCACCTACTAAAATCCCATGGAAAATATGCTCAAAAGTACCTTATTGAAGTTCACCTTTTAGAGTTATCCTCTCCCTGGATATTGCAATATCCTTCACCTTAGCGTTGGCCTCCAAAAGAGTGACACTTCTCAGGTCATTCTGCTGTCTTCTTTGAAGACACAACCCTGCTTGAGTGAAAATAAAAACAAAAAACCAAACTCTATTGCTATGTCAGATACGATATCACTAACATAGTTCAGAAGGGACGATGCAAAACAATTTTTTAAAGAAAAGAATGTTTATTGTGCAATCTGAGACAAAATGCACTCAGGAGTGAGTGGAATCAGAAGCAGCTTTGTATTTGTTGGACTGTGATCCTCAGCCACCTTTGCCAGAACACGCAGAACGGACGGGTCTGGTGCCCTGTGTGCTGGGCTGCAGGCCCAATTTCTTAACACAGTGTCCTGTGTTACCTGGGCCAACCAGTCCTGTGCTCAGTGGGCAAAGCTGTCACTCTCCCGGCCTCACGGGGCTAGCGGGAGGGACTCACTGAAGACAAAGTGCCACGGGTTACACTTCAGAGGGGTGTGATGCAGGAGAAGGGTGCCGATTTTAATGACTAGCAGCCCCATCCACTTCTTCTTCCATCTTCCTGGCTTCCTCCAATTCTCCTGGATTTAACACCAATTAACCTCAACTTCGGCCCCTTACCTCCGAAAGGGGTAAATTTCTCAAGAATTTGAGCTGGCTATAAATAGGAGGAGGAAAAAATAAAAATAAAAAAAAAAAACCCATTTTGCTGTGCCCAAAAACACTGAATAACCATCCTGCTTTTAAAAAACAGAGTATAGCACCAGAACACGACATCTTATTCTCTTTCATTTCCTTTTATAATAGTTGAAAATAACATGAGGTGCTCTGGCCGAAAGTCAAGCTTGCTCTAGTCCCGTGACTACCCTATAAAGCCACAATTACACAAAGGCTCTGCAGAGCTCCACCTTCTCACCCTACGGCACAAACCCCAGTTCCAAGCTAGAGACCTGGGCCAGGATGCATTTCTTAGTCAGCCTCCTCAAGATGGATGCTTATGGAACTCTTACCTTCTTCTAAGCAAAAGCAGGAAATCTGGAAATTAGTTTTCTAAATTAAAGCAAGGCATGTTCAGGAGATGGTTAAAATGGCAATAATTTCATACTGATTATTTTTCTAGATCATTTGAGGTGCTGGAGAAGACTCACGAGAGTCTTCTCGGGACAACAAGGATTTTGGCCAACTGATGGGAAGAACTGATTCATTGGAAAAGACCCTGATGCTGGGAAAGATTGAGGGCAGAAGGAGAAGGGAATGACAGAGGATGAGATGGTTGGTTGGCATCACCGACTCAGTGGAACTGAGTTTGAGCAGACTCTGGGAGATAGTGAAGGACAGGGAAGCCTGGCATGCTGCGGGGCATGGGGTCACAGAGTCGGACACAATTGAGTGACTGAACAACAACAAATGAGGATTAAAGTCATGTACATTGGATGCTCAGTGTATGGGACCATTGAATAAATTCATTGTTACTGCTGAATCACTGTGACTACTGTAAATGTAGAAACTGGCTGGAATTCCCCTTTCAAAAAAAAATTTTCTTTCAGGACTTCAATGTTGGGCCTGTGCTTAACCATCCACCTGCCAATGCAGGGGACACAGGTTGCATCCTTGGTCCAGGGATATCCCACATGCCATGGGGCAACTAGGCTGGTGTGCCACAACTACTGAAGCCCACATGCCCTGCAGCCCATGCTCCAAAACAAGAGAATCCACATCAATCAGAAACCCCTGCACTGTGTCTCGAAAAAGCCTGAGCATAGCAATAAGATCCAGTGCAGCCAAAAATAAATAAGCGAAATAAAAAAAAAAGATTGGTACATGTCTAAAAAAATTAGCACTGTTCAAGGTAATGCCTGCTTACAAGCATTTGGTTTGTTGGGAGAAATAATTACACTTAAGTAAATTTTATCATATTAAAAAGGCCTCTCTTATAAACAGGGTCAAACATTGCATAGTTTAAAATAATATTATGTTTTGTTAGACATATTTGGTGCAGAAGATGAAAATGATACATATATATAGAAACCTCACTGTTTTTCCATCATCTAGATATAGCACTCTCAGCACATTAGTACATTTAAAAAATTTTAAATTTCCTTTCTTTATTCTTGGCTGCACTGGGTCTTGGTTGCTTTGCAGGGGCGTCCTCTAGCTGTGATGAGCAGCGGCCACTCTTCACTGTGATGCATGAGCGGTGGCTTCTCTTGTTGCAGAGCACAGGCTCTAGGTACACGGGCTTCAGAAGTTGCAGCACACTGGCTTGGCAGTTGCTGCCTGTGGGCTCCAGAGCACAGGCTTAGTAATTGCGAGTGTAGGCTTAGTTGCCGCGAGGTATGTGGAATCTTCCCAGACCATAGATCAAACCCGTGTCCCCTGCAATGGCAGAATGCTTATCCGCTGCACCTTTAGGGAAGTGCCTAAGGATTGTTTTAGGCACAGATGAATGGACAGAAGGGAGGGACAGAGATGAGAGGGAAAGAGTGAAACTGGGTGACCTGATGGTCCTCATTGCTTCAGGGTCACTGTAATAGTTAGCTATTGCTGCCTAGACATCTCCTGAGAATGTTGAAGCTTAAAAATACAAGCATTCATAATCTGATTGCTTTTGTGGATTGGGAATTGGGAATGGCTTAACTGGATGGTTCTGGCTCAGTGTCTCATGGGTTGTGGTCAAGTGGTCACTGGACTGTAGTCAGCTGACTGACTGGGGCTGGAGGCTCTATGCCCAGATGGTTCATCACAGGCCTACTGAAGAAGCCTCCATTGCTTGCTGGCTCCTGGCAGGAGGACTTGGTCATTTGCTGCCAGCACTTGTCCAAAGGATTGCTTGAATATCCTCATGTCAGGGCAGCTGGCCTCCCTGGAGAGAGTGATCTGAGAGAGAAGAAGGAAAAAGCCATGATGCTTTTTATGACTAGTCCTTGGGGGCATATACTGCCACTTCTGTTCTAGCCTACTCATGACAGGCAAGTTACGATTTTAGCTTATACTCAGCTAGAACCATTTTAAGAGAGAAGGAGCCCCAAATTTTGGACTTCTCAAAACCACAAAATAAATACTCCCATTATCTCATGTATTCCTCCTGCCATATTCTGATTATGCTTTGTATCATTAACTATCTTGCTACAACATTATGTTAATAACTCTCTGAGATTACACTCTATGGGTAAACCGTCATTTACTCAACCGAATACTATAGGGATTCTTGCAATGTGCTTGATATTTTACATAATGCTTCAAGAAACATTTCTGTACATGTTTTTATAATCTATGATGATTTCCTTTGGTTAATTGCTTCGACTAGTGGGATAGAGTAAAATGGTCATCGGTGTCAGAAAGTTTGGTGACCCAGGGAAATGAAGCAAAAACCACCTGACATTGCCTGAACACTCTCTTGGAGGCATGGGGAGGGTTTGAACTCCTGGCAAGTGACTTGAATTGGGCAGATTTCAGAGCTCCAACAAGATCAGAGTAAGTGAAGAAGAGGGACAACTGTCAAGAGAAAAGACTTGCCTGGAGAGCCCTAGAGTCCGTGGTCCACATGAGAAGCCACCACAATGAGCAGCCCCCGCTCACCGCCACTAGAGAAAGCCGGCCTGTAGCAACTAAGACCCAGCATAGGCAAAATAAACAAATATTCTTCAAGCTTAAAAAAAGAAAAAAAAAAAACAAAGGCTTTCTTGCAGTGGTTCAGCTAGGAGAGTGTGATAGTGTGCTTTATATTAAGAAATACGTGTTTGAGCTTCATCCCAGTTTCTGGCACAGAGCTCCTTAAAACCCTAAGTGATGAATTTCCTTAGTCACGAAAGCCATGCAGGTGTCTTTTGTTATGTTTTTTAAAAGGTGACTTCTAGGGACTTCCCTGGTAGTTCAGTGGCTCCAATGCAGGTGAGGGTTCAGTCCTCAGTCAGGGAACTAAGATCCCACACGCTGTGTGGCACCACCAAAAATAAATAAATATAAGAAAACAAAGGCAGAAAAAAAGGTGACTTTTGGAAAACTCCTAGGCCACCTGAGGAGGGAAACTGGTTGCCAGGAGAGTTGGAAAGTTTCAATTCCACCCCATCTTCCCCCTCTAGGAGGGCAGGATTATAGNCTGGTTGCCAGGAGAGTTGGAAAGTTTCAATTCCACCCCATCTTCCCCCTCTAGGAGGGCAGGATTATAGACTGAATTTAATCATGGATGATCAATAGTTTAATCATTCCTAAGTAATTAAGACTCAAAAAAAAAAAAAAACAGAAAAGCAAGGTTCAGAGGGCTTCTGGGCTCATGAACACGTGGAGGTGGTGGGAAAGTGGGGCGCTGGGAGAGCACAGAAGTGCTGTGCACCTTCCCACTTATCCTGCCCAGTGCAACTCTTCCATTTTTTTCCTGAGTTATTGCCTTTTATAGTAAACTGGTCATCTGGAATTGTCTGAAGCAGAAGGCAGTCACGTAGGCCTGAGCCACTAGCCTGTGGAATCTGATGATCATTAGTAAAAGCACATGAGATTCTCTCTCCACCTTGATTTTATATCCTTAGGGGATGGTTTTGGAAAGAGCATTCTCTCTGCTTTTCTACCTGCCATTCGCAGATTCTTGGGTATGAGTCTAGAAGGGACCAACTGTGAGGCAGGGGACCTGAGACAAGAAACACACGAGCCTAAAGTTCTTACTGGCGGTTGCCGGCTTTCATGGGACTGTCAAAATCCCAGTTCTTTTTTACCTCTATCTTCCTCATGCTGCGACTTCCAGTCTCAGCATCACCCACCCAGGATTAGAGATTCATGAGTCCTAGATTGAAGGCATCTTCTTTTTGTGGAGGGCCCAGAGCTTCATTTTTGCTACCCGGCAGCAACTTAAATTTTTTTCTTTTAGGCTATCTTTGGGAACAACTTTGGCCAAAGAGTAGATCCTCTGATTTAGAAAAGATTTTATATTTAAGAGAATTTCCAGGAGTTTTCATCCTAAACAAACATCCTACTGATACTTTTGCAAGGGTCACACTAGGAACACAGACACACACGCAAAAAGATACACACATGCGCGCACACACACACAAGCAGTACACGGGCATCCTAAAACACTCCCCGACGAAACGGAAGAACAGAAGTCACTCAAACATGAGTGCCATGCTCTTCACACTTGGGACTTCAGAGACCCGAAAATAACGGTGTGAGGCTGAAAAAGGAACAGGGCTAACTGGAAACACACTGAATTTTTTTTTTTCACTTGGATGTGCTTTGGAGAACCCTATATGCTGCCTTCTCAGTTCCTCACCCAAACTTTAGTTTCCAGTTTCACCAAGATTATTTATAAGGGCAAACAAAAATCTTAGAAGTCTCCTCCACTATTACTGATGGAAGTCTCATGATAGTCACAATGAAAAAAAGAGCAGATCCAAAAATATAGAGAAAGCAATCAAAGCCTATCACTACAAAAAAAATTCATCAAACCACAAAGGAAGACAGTAAGAAAGGAAAAGAAGAACCAAAGAACCACAAAATAGAAAGAAAACAATCCACAACATGGCTGTATTAAGCCATTCCTTATCAATAATTATTTCAAAAGCAAATGGATTAAACTCACCAATAAAAAGACATAGAGAGGAGGAACGAATCAAAGAAACAAGATCAAGTATATGTTATCTCCAACGACCCACTTTAGACTTAAGGCGGAAATAGAGGATGAAAGTGAAGGGATGGAAAAAGTATTCTATGTGAATTATAACCAAGAGAGCAGGGCTGACTATACTTATATCACACAAGATAGAATTTCAGTTGAAAATGGTCTAAACAGACAAAGAAGGTCATTACATAATGATAAAAGAGTCAATTCAATAGGAAGATATAACAATTATATGCTGTTTGTCCTTTGGCGTTTTGGGACTTACCAATTACTTAACAATCTCCCCTGTGTAGTTTTCTCCTGTTGTAAAATAAAGCATATTTATTCCAGAAAATTTTGCAATAAAAAATTTTATTTTGTAAAGAAGAGTGTAGATTCCCTCAACTAGAGATAACATCATTAATATTTAATCTAACTAAAAACTATTTGAACATATGTATGTACTCTGTCTCTCAGTCTTACATTTTAACGTTTATTGATTATATACTTGCATATTCTTAAAAAAAAAATCTCAGGACACAGGATCACACACTAAGTAATGAACTTCTGGTTTAAAGCGGTGCCTGACATGATGTCACCTCAAAAAACTGTATGGTGTCTGAGGATCAGATAGGAATGTGTTGATACTAATATTTGGATTTCAAGGATGTGTTATGAAAAGTCATTTGAGTTCAATATTAGTTTACAGTTCTTAAATGCTATAATTTAGAAACAGTGAAATGCATGATTCTTAAGTGCACTATTCAATGAGTTGTAATGAACATGTACATTTGTGTAACCCAAATCCTCTGTGCATGCTCAGTCACTGAGTTGTGTCCAACTCTTCTGCAACCCCATGGTCTGCAGCCCATGAGGCTCCTCTGTCCATGGAATTTTCCCAGGAAGAATACTGGAGTGGGTTGCCATTTCCTACTTCAGGGGGATCTTCCCCACCCAGGAATCAAACCTGCATCTCTTGCATTGCAGGCGGATTCTTTACAGCTAAGCCACTGGGGAAGCCAACACAAATCCTCTCTAGGTCACAAAATATTAGCATTACCACAGAATATTCCCTTGTGTCCATTCCCAGATTCTACTCTGGAAAACCACCCCTAGAGGCAATTATTTTTCCATCATGGATTGGTTTTGTCAACACCAGAACTTTAAAGAAGTCCATCAGTGCAAGTCCGCTTTCACTCACCATGTGAAGATTTGTCTGTGCTGTTTTACCTATTAGTATTACTTCCCTTTTATTGATAAATGGTATTTCCTTGAATAAATAGGTTCCAATTCCACCAAATTGTTTATCTAGTATCTGTGGATAGATGCTTGGTCTATTATCAGCTTTTGACAACTATGATTAAAATGGCTATGGAAGATTTATGGATAGTTAGGGAAACATCACAAATCATAAGGGAAATTCGAATCAACACCGCAATGAGATATCACCTAACACCAGTTAGGTTGGCTACTATGAAAAAGGAAAAAACAAGTGCTGGTGAAGATGTGCAGAAACTGGAATGCTTATGCACTGTTGTTGAAAGTATAAAATGGTGCAGCCTCTATGGTTAAAGTATGGCAGTTCCTCAAAAAAATCAAAATAGAATTACCATATGATCCAGCAAGTCCATTTCTGGGTATATACACAAAAGAACTGAAAGCTCACTCTTAAAGAAACATTGACACATCCACGTTCATGAAAGCCTCATTCACAGAAAGAGGTAGACGCAATCCAAGCCTCCATCAAGGGATAACAGAATGAACACAATGTGGTTTACCCATACAATGGACTATTACTCAGCTTTAAAAAGTAAGGAAGTCCTGGCACATATTATAATATGGACTAACCTTGAGGACATCATGTTGAGTAAAATAAGCCAGTCACAGAAATACAACTACCGTGTGATTCCACTTATATGAAATAACCACAGGAGCCAAATTCACAGAAGCGAAAAATAGAATGGTGATTGTCAAGGACTGCAGGGAGGGGAAATGGGAAGTTGTTGTTTCAGTTCTGCAAGATGAAAAAATGCTGGATGTGGGTATGTGGGTACACTTAATAGTATTGAAAAAGTAAAGTGAAAGTGTTAGTCTATCAGTCATGTCTGCCTCTTTGCGACCCCATGCACTGCAACCTGCCAGGCTCCTCTGTCCATGGGATTCTCCGGGCAAGAACACTGGAGTGGATTGCCATTTCCATTGCCAGATCCAGGGAATCTTCCCAACCCAGGGCTCTTATCACAGTCTCCTGCATTGCAGGTCAATTCTTGACTGTCTCAGCCACCAGGGAAGCCCAATAGTACTGAACTGTACATTGAAAACCGGTTAACACAATAAATCTTATGATAGTATGTATTTTTTACAACAAACCATGACAAATTAAATTATCAATTTTTCCATTAACAATACTCAGCCAATGTCAAGTGCGAAATGTAGTCTCTTAGGCTTTTCTCAAGAACCTTCACTGGTTTAGTCTTCAGGAGTGGGTAATGATTTACTGCAAACTGATTTTTAAGTATGATACAGTATAGTGGTTCTTACGCCTGTGTCCCTATGTTGACAGCCATTGTTTCATCACCGTTTGTTCATTTATTCTTGGTTGCACTGGCGCTTTTTTTGCTGCATGGGCTTTCTTC